TCATAAATGTAAGCTGGCAGGGCTGTGGTTCAAGGTAAACCAAAAAATCCAGTAGTCCAACTCCTGTAGAGCCTGTTAGCATCACACTTGCCAGTCACTTGCTGACTAAATGTAAGCTGGAAAGTTTGTGGTCCTGAATGAACCATAGAAACTAGTAGTTGAGCGCCTCTGATGACCCATAGCTTGGCATTTTTCTTCTGTATTCCCAAATGTGTCCGGATCGCCGCAGCATTTGAGAGAAAGAACCATTTTTGCCAGACTACTCAACTGGAGAGCACTTCGAAGTGAATATTCCATCCGCGATGGTTTGTTTGTTGCTTTGGCTGTTGTGTCTGCCAGCGGCATGGGGAGCCGTGGACGACACGACCACCAACACAGCAGAGCATATGTGGTACCATGCAGCAAGCCACATGGATGAGCTTACTCATTTCTGCACCTTGCTCCTGATTCAAACTGTTTGCAGGGTTTGGATGTGTTTCGAACATTTTGGAATGGGTTTGGGTGGGAGAAGAATGGAGAAGATGGGAGGTGCAAGAACCCACAACCTTCTGCGCAGGCCAGGAGTGGAGCAAACCGCGTACGCTCCATTGCTTCGACCTTTATTCCAGGTCTGAGAAGTTGGCAAAAACATGGAGAAAGCACGGGTGGCACGCGGTGGCATTCGACATAGCGAATTCCAAAACCCAGGACATCTTGTCCAGGGAAGGTTTCTTCGAAGCGCTCGATCGGACATTATCGTTCCTGAGATAGATTACTAAACATGTTTGATTTACATTGATTTACCGCATTTTAGAGAGAGAGAGGGAGAGAACGTGCACTTTTCATAGCTTTTTTGTTGTTTTGATTTCGGGCGCTGGAGCAAAGATAAGGCTTGTCGATCACGGGTGCCTTTTCGCAGCCATTCCGTGCTCGCTATTCGTTCCAATTTCCTTCTCTGTTCACTGGCGCTATGATCCCCAGAGAACAGACAGCAGGTTCTTCTTTTCTGACCACCGGAGTTGAATGGATTTGAAGGGTGTTTCCCAGATAGCGATAGCTAATGATAGCATATGATAGCATATGATAGCTATATATGCTATAATCTATGCTGGTGTGGTATGTTTTTGTGGAATTTTGAGGAGTGGCAGCCAGAAGGATGCGTGACAAACTGGAAAGTGCGAATGGCCAACCGCATTGCGGAGAACACAGCTACGCTCCTTCGGTTGGCTTTGACTTTTCGGCCATACACGTATGTCACCATAGAGAACCCGAAGAGCACAATGCTTTTCAAGCTTCCGGCTGTGGCCTCTCTTCTGAACGAGTTCGCATTCGTGGGCATACTCACGTATCTTGGATTCTTTGGAATGGACCTGCTCAAGCCGACCTGGCTGCGAACCACGATGGGGCTGGCTATGGGCGTAGCTCGCAAGGCAACAAAGAAGCAGAAAGCGAAATTTGACGAACGTATCGCACGGAAACGTGCCAAACTTTTGAAGCAAGGTAAGAAACTACCAATCTATTACCGCACACACAGCGGAGCCTCGGGGAAGAAGCAATTTTCCGGAGGGCCGAATCTCCCAGATACAAGCACGTATCCTCAGGCCTTTTGCACTGCTTTTTACAAATTGTGGAGACAGGCCTTTTCTATGGCAAGCTTGCGCAACGCTGAGCAAAGCAGCGTTGGCGCTTGAGTGGGATGCTTTTGTCGGCTGTCCTTTGCTTCTGCGCAACCGCAGGTTCATTATTGATGTGTGTCTGTCATTGTGTGTCAGTGTGTTGCATGTTGATGTCAAAGGACATTGCGATGCAGCCTAGCCGATCCTTTGAGCGCAAAGATTGGAAAAAGGATGTCTAGAATTTTCTAGAATCTTCATGAATCATCATGAATCTTCATGAATCTTCTTCATCTTGATTCATCTTGTTTCGGAATGTTTCGGGAAGGTTTTTTGGGCAAGCAGCATTCGACAGCTCTATACAGATCCTGGGTGGGTTTCCAAGCCCTTGACAGAACAAGTATATGTTTTAAAATGCATTCCTGGACATCCGAGGTATCCAGCAGGAACACATCCATTTTGCAAGAGAGCTGCCGCACAGCAATGAGTGCTTTGCGCATGCTAGGGACGAGAAATCTGGTGATCATCATTGACGAGACAGTGTGGTCGCCTATGTGGGAGGTCATGGTTGCTTTGAGGCCAGATGCTGCCAACATGTCTTACATAGGAGGCTACATCGAGCGTTCCAGAGATGAGGACTATTCTTGTGTGGGGGCAGGGGCTACTGAGTTGGATGACACAAAACTATCCAAGATGTGCAATCATTTCGGATTGACCCGCGCAGATTGCCACAAGCACTTCTACTGTGTAGATATGCTTCCACGAGGTCCACGCCCAAAAGAGCAGACTGCCACAGAAGCAGTTCTTGCCCGCGCTCCTGAGACACTAGAAGAGGTCGGTGTTCTCATGCAAGCAGCGACCGCAGTGAATGGTGGATTGCCACCGATTGGTGTTGCAGCAGACGGGGGTGGTGCCAACTCTCATGTGAACGCTTGTTTGCTGGGACTGCTGCCGTCGGAATGGATGGATCGAACGACCTTCTTTTCTCAATGCACCAAAAACAAGAAACTGAACCTTCCCCTATGGACATACCAGCCGCTGTTCTTTCAAGAGCATTTCCTGTCAGGTTCTAATGACAGCCGACATGTGATGAAACGATATGGGGCTCACCTTGTGTCAGGGACTCGGGTTGTGAGATTTGGAGGCTTTTTGGTGCAGCTCACCCCACTGGTGACAAATGGCTTATCAGTGCGTGCGCTGGCAGTGGAGAACTTGCAAAGTGACTCTGACAGCTCCAAACGTCTAAACTCTGGGTACTTGCCAGACAATTGGGCGTCCTACGGCTGCTTGATCGCCCAATTTGTAGCCTCTCTCATCTCGTCTGCCTGGAGTGGCTGCTCTGGCTTTACAATGCGAGAGTCGGTTTCGAACGCTTTGCTAGGCTACTATGTGCTTCTATGCCAGTGCAGCCAGACCCACAAGCAATTCGCCAAGCAGTGGACCAAGCATTTCTTGCCCATACAGACGATTCGCACACTCTTGGACCTCGTTGGCCACATTGTCCAAGCTGCTAGGTTCTGGGAGAATAATATTGCATGGAGACCAAGTCAGCGAGAGGAATACAGAATCGAAGGGTTCTTTGGTGAAGTGAAATCCTATACTCAAGGCAGCCCGACCTTGAAAGACGGATTGTATGGAACCTACATGGTCCACGCAAAGCAATATCAGAAATCTGCGTTGGTGGAGAAAGAAATTGAGAAGGCAAATTTCCAGAGGGAGATTCCTTTGACAGATGAAGAGCTCACCAAGATCGCAGCCCAGGCGTTTTCTGACGCCTGCGATTTCCAAGCATGGATCTCGCCAGATATATCCAGCCAGCAGGTTCGCGACACTGTGGAAACCTGGTGGAGCCAAATTTGGAAAAGACTTGGTGAGGAAGCGGTTCAGCAAGGGTGAGGGTGCTGCTGAAGAAGAGGCCGAAATGTTTGAAACCTGAAGTAAAATGTAAGCTGCCAGAGATCTAGCTCAGAATGGATCAGAGAAACCAGTAGTTTGAGCAAAAACCTAGCCTACGTCTTTACAAATCTAGGAGAACATAGGAGAACTACTTGGGTGAGCGGGTTTGGTCCTTAGGTGTCTCAAAAATGTAAGCTGGCAGGGCTGTGGTCCAAGGTAAACCAAAACATCCAGTAGTCCAACTCCTGTAGAGCCTGTTACCATTACACTTGCCAGTCAATTGCTCACTATATACATGTCAGATAATGTAAGCTGGAAAGTTTGTGGTCCTGAATGAACCATAGAAACTAGTAGATCAGCACCTCTGGTGAGCCATAGCTGGTCTCTGCAGGATGACCTCTTCGAAGATGATGCCCAGGACATGGAGGATGTCGCAGCTGAACTTGATCCGGTAGACGCAGCAGATGAACGATTTGAAGAGGGCATGTGTCAGAAGCCTGAAGAGGTGCTAGGAACCTTAGAGAAGCGCCAAGAGATGGTTCTCCAGCTGGCAGAGGTCATGCCTAGTGAGCTCAATGTTGCAGACATTAAGTGTACCCTTGGAAATTTCGATGATGAGCAGAATACTTCAGCATCTTTGCCAGCCGTATGTTGTTCGCAAAGGTCGCAGGCAAGAATCCCAGATGTAGGATTCTTCGACACCCTGAGGTCAGTTGTGAACGACAACCATTTGTTTGCCAAGGACATGACCGTTGGAAAGACTGGGCCGAACTCATGCTTGAAGAGAATGGAGATACTGTTTCCTCACTTGAAGCAGTTCGTGTCTGAGGTCAGAGTGGCTGAGGGTATCCTGCCAGGGCCCAATTTTTTTGCAAACAGAGAGATCACGTATTCAATCATTTTGTAACACATATATCCCAAGGCAACAGTGAGCACCACAAAACTTGATTGGAACACAACCTGCTAGACATCTAGCTTACATTTTTCCTCACCTGACCCATGTCTAAACTTAATTTTGAAGTCAACTTTGAAGAACAAAAGCGTAAGATATAATGTATGACAACAGCCCCCAGGCCACAAAAAGCACTGCAAAAATGGGTTGACACACGACCTGCCACAATTCTAGCTTACATTTTTTTGATTTCTCATCTATTTCACGTCTAAAGCTAAAAAAAAGGCATCCTAGCCAACAGTGAAGAACAATAGCGTCAGAGATAATGTATGACAAAAGCCCCCAGGCCACAAAAAGCACTGCACAAATGGGTTGACACATGACCTGCCACAATTCTAGCTTACATTTTTGG